TTTTATGCCGCGGGGGAAGTGAGCCGGCGCTGGGTCTCGCATCCCCGCCACCCCGGCATGGCTGCCCGGCTGCTTCATGACTGGCGGGGCAGCTCTTTTTCTTCCTTTTCCCCCACTCTTTGGGACAACCGGATGAAAGCTTTATCCAGAATTCCTCTTTCAAGGAGCTGGCATTTGCAGATGGAAAACGCAACGCCAAGGTCACCCTGCTGACGTCCCCTGGCAGCGGGACGAGCAGTGCCAACGCTCCCTGCTCACACAACCCAGCCCTCCGGAGCACAGCTTTGTGACGGACCGGCTGAGCGCTCCCGACTCCCACCTGCATCCTTCAAGCCCCTTCCCACCGCGGAGCAGAGAGATCCCTCCTGCCCCGCAAGCTCCAAACCCCAGCACAGCATCCCCGCCTAGCGTGTTCCGGTCCAGCTGGGATACAGCCTCCCCGAAACCTCCCGCCATCCTCCAGCAGCCGAGATCACGGGCACCTCACAGCACTGCGCGTTCCCCAGACCTCCACAGCTCAATCACCAGAAGCTCCTGAGGAGGCACCTCAGGAGCAGAAGCGTCTGTTCCTTCTGGAAGCATCCTCCGAGCAGCCTCCAGCCAGCGCGTCCGTTCCCGAGCACGTGTCTGCGCTGGCTTTTAGCATCCGTGCTTCCACTGCTCCCCTTCCTGGCCAGGCTCCCCAGCCCCTCGGCCTCTCCATCACACCAGGACGTGATGGTGAGCCAAATTGGACCTGCCACGTGCATCTAAAAACGGAGGAATAGTAACGCCGCCGTAGCAGCTGAAGGCAGTGTGTAGGCTGTGCCAAGCCCCAGCCCTCCCGCAGCCCACGCTCCCGCAGCTCCGAGGAACGGAGCAGCTCTTCTGCAGGGAAGAACGAAGGTGACAGGAGGAACCAGTCCAATTCCTATGCAAGCCCCACAGTTTTCTTTCCCTGGCTTGATGGATATAAAACTCATAGAGCCCGAACAGCTCCCTTTACCCTTCTCTCTCTGCAGCATCACCTCTCTGACGGCAATTAAATGTCTTTTGTCGTGCCGACCTCGGTGGAAGGAGGAAGCCCTGCAGATCCTCTGGGCAGGCTCTCAGGGCTGGACCCCGCAGGGACCGAGCTCAGACCCTGCTCCAGCCAGCCCCGGGCAACCACAAAACCCCAGAAAGCAAAAAAGCCAGAAAGAAACGCTGGCACATAGATGGGCTTTGCTAAAAATAGGGTCTGCTACAAAACAGGCAGAAAAATAGCTAAGTGTACCCATTCTGCAAACAGAATCAGCAAATGCACTCACTTTGCAAATTCAGCAACCGTATGTTGCCTATTTTGTAGAATAGGCAAAATGCTTCCCTAAACTGAAAAATCCCCTTTCAAGGACACCGAATAAACCGGCTGGCAGAAATTCACCTATTTTGCATGACGGGCGACTTTACCGCAAGCCGTGTTTTAGGAACCGCGCTCTCGCAGCCCGGTTCAACCTTTTCCCCCGGCTCCTCAATGTCCGCAGCAGAGCGACTCGCTCCATGTCGCACAGGTAACCAGCCGCTTCCACCAGAAAGCAGCTCCTGGGCCGTTCCCTTCTGGTTCCAACAAAACCACACGAAGCTTTGCAATCCCTGCTCTGAAGCAGGGAATACTGATCCGCTTCCCACCGCTGCCGAAGCCCTGGGCTGCAGTGCCCTGAGCAGCGTCCGACCGCCACGCCGCGTCGTGCTGAAGGCGTAAGCCCTGCAGCTCCTTCCTAGAGACCTGGAAGAAGATTTTATCGTGGAAAAGACTTAAGAAATATGTCTTTGGACACAGACAGGAGACACAAGCACCCCTTTGGAGTGCAAGATCTGTGGCTTCTGGAAGATTGCTAGAAAATGGGAGAAAAATAAGAAAATAATTTGCTCGCTGGCTCAGAGATGTCTGTGTAAACAGCCTTACTGGAAGCTGCTTTTGAAGGCAGAACCTTCCAACCACTTCCCAGGGCTGTTTATTTTGAATTTTTCCAACAATTCCTCCCAGCCGGAGCGCTTCTGTCCAAAACCACCACCAAAGACACTCAGAAAACCCGCACCATTGGCACCTTACGCCGCTGACGCCGGCACCCGAGCCTGCCCCAGACCAGAGACACCGAGGCAGGAACCAGCATTTATATTTTCCACGTAAAACACAAAGCTCCGCATCGCGAGCCGAATCCCCCTTCACAGCAAGATGCCCCAAGACCCAGCTTCCCAGTGGGGGCTGCTGGTTGCTTCTGGCATGTTCCCTTTTGTGCTGGTTTCACCACTCCGCTCCCGCTGGCAACTACCGCAGGCCACTGTCAGCGCCGAAAACGTATGAATTCTGTACACCCCACTTCACTGTCTCCTCTATTTATTATGGACTTGCAACAAACGTCTTTGAAGTCTCATACCAAAGGCCACCTTCCCCCTGACCTAACCAAGAACCATCTCCTTGAAGGACACTGGAACTGTCTCGCAGGCAAAGCTGCCTCGAAACGAACTGGCGCAGAGCTTGATTTTTGTTTTAAACCACAAATTCCTAGAACATCGCCCTGTGGTCAGCTGGAAAGAGTCAGATCAGCCTTCAGACCATTGATCGGAAGCCGAGTCAGCTTGTTTCACACCTCTCTTAGGGTTCAGTTACTCACAGAACAGACATTTACGCTGCAGCAGGCTCTCTGAGATCACCGCAGGGCTCCGCTGTGACTAAGCCACCCCCATGTGCTTGCTCTGCGGGGGGTATCTGGGAAGGGAGGTGCTGTCTGCAGCAGGATCGGGCCCTCTCCTTTACACCCAAGTTATTTTAAGCACCAGAGATGCTGCAGTGATGCAGCAGGCAAAGCACTGAGCACCAGACCCTCTCTGCTGGAAAAGGTCCTTTTCTTTCTCATAGAATAACTTACGCTGCTTTATAGGTATAAAATAATAGGGGAATCACTTACCCACTGTTTGCGAGCATGGTTTCTCCTCTTAAAGTACAAAATTAACTTTTTCCGCATTGCCTGGTTTCTGTAAAGGAAAAAAAAAAAGAAAAAGAAGATGAGATCTGATTAACGAGGCGGCTAAAATCCAAAGCCTGGCTCTCCCCGCTCCCGGAGGAGTTCACAGCGCAGTTTCCACCTTAACTTGGAATTGCACCAACTTCAGAGCCGCAAGCGCGGTTATCCGGGGACCCCGCGCCAGATTTCAAGACCAACAAACCCTTGAAACGAGGAACTCCACCTGCATCGGTTGGTAAAAGCAGGACTATGGCTGAGAAGTGAAGTCATAAACTCCCAGTTCTGCAAACCTTTGCCGTGTGCTCAGCCCCGGACGCGGCCAGACCTTCAGCTCTGCCTTCACCAACGGGTCAGGCTGCTTCTTGATTATAATTACATTTTGATCTGCAAAAATCCAAGGGGGTCCCAAGCGTCGGGGGGCTCAGGCCAGGCTCTGCGTGGCAGGAGGTGGCTCTGGCAGCACCCTGAGCTGCCTGGTCCCCGGGGCCAGCGGCGAGGGGGCAGTCCACCCCCAGAACCA